CGTACGGTGCAAACACTGGTTCCACGAACGATTACTATTCAGATAATGAACATAGTCGTTTTTATTGCCTTAATCAAAACTTAATACAGAAACAAATTTATCATCATTCAAAGTATGCAATAGCTAAATACAGAAACAATTTATTACAGTCAAAATCAAGAAAGAATATACAGACAAATTCAATAATTTCCTAAATCTAATACAACCCTAATTAACCTAATCAAAATTTGCAGACAAGCTTGCCTCTTTCCTAAATTACAGACTCCTAAAAAATCTATAAAAGCCTAATCTGAATCTACAGAAGAGGAAGGAAAGGATAAACTGAAAAAGAAAATTATAGAGGAGAAAGAACTACAGGAGGATAAACTGTTACAGAGGCCGAGAAATTTCTACAAGAAAGGGATTAACAGAGATCAGGTGCGCCACTGTCTAACCCTCACTCAGCCACTATGGTCGCCTTTCCGATATTAGGGTTTTAACATCCGAAACTCTCGTCACAGTCACCCTCTTCATCTTCCCCGCACCATTGCCGTCTACAATCCCTCTCTGCCGTTACCCTTACCTACAAAAAAATGAATAAAGATTAACAAAGAACAAATTTCGATCGAAATCAAAAGCAACGATGTGAGATACTTAAATTTTTGGTCATGATTGTTATGTTTGGAGGAAAGGGGGTTTGATCCAGTGGTATCGGAGAGAGGTTCAGACTTGCGCCATCGTGGGTTGTTTATGGTAGGGTTTTATTTAACACAATGAGGCAAGGGAGAGAGAAGAGAGTGTTCAAAGGATAGAAATGCAGAGAGAGAGAGAGAGAGAGATAACTGATTAAGTTTTGTTTTTTTTGTAAAAAATAAAATATATTATGCTTAACTATCCAATGCATGCCACCCTTCGTTCCTTACTATACGCCCTCAGCCACCATCACTAGATCAAAATCAAACACTCACAAGTGCGCGTATCCATGATATCATGGTATACCTACCCTCACGAAGTCTATACGACTCTCCAAATTATCTTCAGCCAGGCCCAGTTACTCACCACACCTCTGCTTCTTTTCATTTTTGTTATCCTATTCGAAAATGCACCCCGAGCCTAAATGGGTCAAGTCCAAAATCTGGACTTGGACCCCTGACTCTTGACACCCCCATCCTTTGTTGTTTAATGTAAAAACGCAACCTTTTGGCCTTTGGGCCTGAATTCAATATATGAATTCAGGCCCTTTCTATTACCACCCCATCTTTTACTCGCACCCCCTTTACTTTTTTTCAAATATTTTATTTATTTTTATAATTTTATATTTTCTTTTAATTATAATAATTATTATATATATTTTTATTATATATTTAAATATATTTAATATTATACTTATTATTATTAATTATCACATAAATTCTTATTTTCTAAACTCATTAAAATATTATTTATTGCATTAAAGCTTATTTTTATTCATGCGTTTAAATAAAATTCTTTTTTTTAAATAATTAATATATTAAAAAATATTCAACCAAGTACAAACTCATTTTCAAAATCAAATTAATTCAACAAATAAACTTTAAAAAAGAATTGCGAACTTATTCGAATCGACTATACATTTAGTCTAACAATTTCCGCCATTCACAACACCTAGACTGAACGTGCGAAAAATGAGAATATCTTTATAATTCATAAAAAACACAAACCAGCTGCGAACTACGAAATGAGACTCTGATTCCTCCTAAGAGGATACATAGGCATGTGATTAAAGTCGTGGCGAGTTCCCCTAATTAAACTTAAAACCCTATTTTCTTAAAACATGCTTCTAAACCTAGTATCCTTGCGAACAAGGTAGATAAGGGGTGCCTAACACCTTCCCCTCGTCTAGAACCGAGTCCAAATCTAGAATCTTTGAACTTTAGGGTTATTCCTTTATACTCCCTTCCTTTAGGATAAAAATTAAGGGTGGCGACTCTGATTTAAAAACCAGTTGCAACACCAACTAGATTATGATAAGCAGGGACGTGATTATAGATGAGCTTAAAGAATCGGATTGGACTAAAAATGTTAAGAAAGATTCAGTGATAATCTTATTCGAAGAACCATAAACTTAAGTTGAAATAGAAGTTTGACAAGAGGAAGTTAGAGATCAACCAAGTACAAGTATGCCTCAAAGAATAAGACACACGAATGCAAGGTTGCAAGATTGTATGATTACATCAGATGATGTGGTTGATGATGAAGGTGAGATGGTACATTATGCTTTCTATGCAGATGTCGAACCTGTCAAGGCAACTGAGGCATTGAAAGATTCGAAGTGGGTGAAAGGCAATGAATGAAGAAGTGAAGTCTATCAAAAACAACAACACTTGATCACTTGTTGAATTGCCTCAAGGCAAGAAATAAATTGATGTCAAGTGCGTATACAAGGTGAAGTTGAATCCCAAAAGGGAAGTAACTCGACACAAAGCAAGGCTTGTGGCAAAAGGATTTCTTCAAAAAGAAGGAATCGACTTCGATGAAGTATTTGCACCTGTTGCTAGGATCGAAACAATTAGGTTGGTTGTTGATCTAGCAGAAATGAACAATTGGCACAAATGTCAGATGGACGTGAAGTGTGGATTCTTTAATGGAACTTTAGATGAAGAAGTTTATGTTGCACAACCAATTGGGTTTATGAAGCATGTCGAAGAGAGAAAGGTATACAGGCTGCATAAAGCCCTGTATGGATAGAAATAAGCTCCAAGAGCTTGGAATAAGAAAATGTATAGTTTTCCAAGGGAAAGGGAATTTGCGAAGTGCACAACTAAACATGGACTATATGTAAGAAGAATCAAGAGTGAATTGCTTATACTATGTCTCTATGTCGATGATTTGTTAATAACAAGTAGCTGCAAGAAGGAGATCAAAGACTTCAAAGGTTATCTCAGTAAGGAATTCAAAATGTCGGATATGGGTGACATTTCATATTTCCTTGAAATAGAATTATATAAGAGTAGTAGAGGTTTGATGATGTATAAAAGAAGATATGCATGAGTAATTCTCAAGAAATTTGAGATGGAAGAGTGCAACTCGACTTCAACACCTGCAGAACTAAGATTACAACTTTCGAAAGATGCAAATGAAGATTTCAATTGTCGAAGACTTCAAAGGTTATCTCAGTAAGGAATTCAAAATGTCGGATCTGAGTGGCATTTCATATTTCCTTGGCATAGAATTCTACAAGAGTAGTAGATGTTTGATGATGCATCAAAGAAGATATGCAGGAGAAATTCTCAAGAAATTTGAGATGGAAGAGTGCAACTCAACTTCAACACCTACAGAACCAAGATTGCAACTGTCGAAAGATGCAAATGAAGATGATATCAATCCAACCAAATACAGAAGACTTATTGGGTCATTACAATACCTTTTTTATACGAGGAGTGACTTAGCATACAGTGTAGGTATGGTAAATAGATTCATGCAGAAGCCAAAGATATCACATCTAGCAGCAACGAAGAGGATATTGGGGTATCTGAAAGGAACTCTCGACTATAACATTCTGTTTCCTGCAGCTGATAAAGGAGAAGAATGCAAGTTAGTGATGTTGAGGATCAAAAATCCACACCAGGATATGTGTTTATGCTAGGTGGTGCGCCCGTTGCTTGGAGTTCGAGAAAAGAACTAGTAGTGGCATTATCATCATGCGAAGCAGAATACATACCCGCTTCTCTTTGTGCATGTCAAGCAACATGGATGGTGAACTTGGTCAAAGAAAACACAGAGAAATATCATGGCACAATTACCATGAAGATCGACAACATGTTAGATATTAACTTGGAGAGCAACTCGATAGCACATGGTCGAAGCAAGCACATCAATATGAGCTTCCATTATCTTCGACAGTAGATAGCAGATGAGAAGATGAACTTGGAACACTGTAGAACTGAGAATCAGATTGCAGACATCATGACAAAGGGAGTGCAGGTCGAAGTATTCAAAAGACTAAGAATTATGATAAATATAAATAGCTTAGACACAATGAATTAGGTGGTGTGTTGAAAATGTAATTCCTTGTGTCGAAGCATGTTGTTGCTCGAACACAGGGTGTGTCGAAGTGTTGTAAGCAGGTTGCTACACACAAATTTGATTTAGATTTAATTTAGATCTAAAATAGGTATTTTTGGGCTTTTATAGTTTTGGGCTTTTTGACTTATGGAGAAAGCAAACTCAATTATAAATAGAGGGAGTAACTCTTATTTTTGTAACCAACTCAGATTGAGTATTCACAGAATTTTGCAATTACAAAGTGAATAATAAAGTTTTCTATAATTTTGTGGACAGAGAGTTACTATGCAGAAATCCTAAATCTCTTTTCTTTTTAATTTTCTTTTCATTATCATTATGTGGTGATAATAATCTTGTTCATCAAAATTGATATAAATTTATCATGAATTTCCAATAATATCAACACGAGAATGCATAACATCGTGTACAGATCTCACAACAACACAGTTTACTCGACATATCCCAAAATTATAAGTTATACAAATTGAGCAATTATATACACAAGTTGAACTTTGTTTAGTGAATAAAATATATCGAAACTCAATAAAAACCACCAACATCTTTGGTTCCCTTGTCTCAATACTAATAACTTCGTAGAAAGGGTGGCACAAGATGTGGCACATTGCACAACAATAATTATAAACAAATCTTGCATCGCAAGAAATGGGTGGCACATGGGAACAATAAAATAAAAAACTCAAGAAAGTGAGTAATAATGAGGGACTAAAACAGTGTTAGCTAAGAAGTAAGAACCTTCCCTTTAACCCAATAACAAGACATCACAAAACAAACAAGCTTTTTAATAGAGCAAAAATGGTCAATGAGCTTATAATTTAAAAAAAAATGAGTACATTGGATCAAGATTTACTAATAGAATGAAAATGAAAAGTTCCAAGTCATAAAATTTGATACATAAAACATAGAAAGCATATATAAAATTAATGTGATTCTCTCTACCAAGTCCAGCATCTGACAATTCAAACATGCTCTGACGTAGTATTACGAATGACCGATATGCCACCATCAACAACCAAGTTATGGCCACTGATATAAACAGCTTCATCAGAAGCAAGAAACAAAGCTGCTTCAGCAATATGCTTAGCCTTCAAAACAACACCCTTCAAATTAGCATTAGAGTATGTACTAGCTTCAACTTCATGTGGTTCAAGATTGTAAGCTCGACACGAAAGAGGCGTCGCAATTCCATAAGGAGAAATACTATTAACCCTAATTCCATAACCACCAAGTTCACTACAAGCCGATTTCACAAGTCCTAAAACAGCATGTTTTGATGTAGTGTAACCATTAGGACCTGTTCCACCAACAGAAGCAGAAACACTAGTAGTACATATAATCGACCCGCGAATCTTCTTCTCAACCATGGCACGCGCCGAATGCTTCATCATAGCAGCTGTTCCAACAACATTTGTAGCCATAGTTTTCTCAAACTCGTCCAGATCCAGCTCGAGTATTCCCGATAAAGATCCTATTATTCCTGCATTACTGAACAAAACATCAACGCGACCGTGTCTTTCCAACGCGAAGTTAACCGTTTCTTCAACCTGTTTTTCGTCTCTCACATCACAATGATGATATGTTACTTTCTCTGAACCTATTGAATCTGCAACTTGTTGACCTAATTCATCTTGAATATCTGCTGCAATAACATATGCTCCATTTTCCACGAATAATTTCACCGTCTCTTCGCCAATTCCACTCGCTGCACCTGTTATTAATGCAACCTTACCCTCCAACCTGAATTTTTTCATCATAATATCATCATTCACACAAAAAATATAAAGTCAACAAATCAGAAAACAAAATGAACTCTCATATATATATATATATATATATATATATATATATATATATATATATATATATATATATATATATATATATATATATATATATATATATATATATCAAACTATATGTTACCGTTTCGTCATCATTGGTAATGAACAAGAACTCTATAATTTTCTCGATGAACTCTCCTCAAAACCTGGACTTTTATCTTAGTAAGTAAATATGAAAATACTAACCTATTTATAAGGTTTGTAGAGTGCAAAGCTCAAGAAAAATGACGGCTAATAATCATCATTAAGTATTAATCAAGTATTAAACTACTTGTCTTCTTGATCTAAAACATGGAAAATATTTTCTAATCACATGTTTCTTGTAAAACTATTGCTTTCTTTCTTGGGGTGAAGCATTTACAATGTATCTATATAATCAATTGGTGTATTGGATGGAATTTGATAATGTGCATTGATTATTTAGGTGAATTCCACGTTTCCAACTAGGCTATAGCATATAAAATTCATTGAACTGTTTGGAATCACATGGCTTTCGTCGTGCTTTTAATGTATAGTTGAAAGGTCAAGCATTACAACTCGTATAATCTACACAAATAGTATTATTTGACTTTTTTTATGAAATCATATAGTTTACGCAATTTGATATTTTTTTCAGTTGTTTAGTCTATAATTATTGTGAATATGTACACTATACTGTTTGTGTAATGTTTAAGATCTTATAAAGGGTCAGAGTCTTATTTTTTATGATTGATATCATTTTTAAAACTTACTCAAATTACAGCTTCAAAGTCTAATCCGTTATGGGTGTTCTGTCCCTTTCTAGAGATCTTAGAAGTCTTTTGAGCTTTTCATCTCTTTAGAGGGCAAGGTTAAGGTTAAATCTGATGCGATATAATCTAAGTTCACTAATTCAAGTTTAAGTCTAAGTTAATTATATTTTTTTTATTATTTATTATATAAGTTAGTTGTATATAAATAGATATATTATAAATATCTTTTATTTATTCAATAATATCAATCCTTATTTTTTTGTTTTCTCTTTCTCTTCTCACTAAAAGTGTCTCACGCACTAACAAATTGGTATTAAAATTTGGTTAGATTCTTGATCGTATTTTCAAGAATCACACATCATTGATCGTGTTTTCGAGATCGTGGGGTTTTCATCGCTTTAGTATAACAATGGTATTTTGAATTCTCTTCCAACTCTTGACGGTAAGAATTGAATTCGATGGAGAAAACAAATGCAATCTCTATTTGGCTTTCATGAAACCCTAGAAGTGATTACTAATGATGTCTATGTGCTTGCTGAGGATGCAACTAACGCACAGAGAACCACCTACAAGGATGCCAAGGAGAAGGATTCCAAGGCGGCATTTTGCGTTCAATCGACGGTAGATTCAGAAAATTTTGAGAGAATCTCTCATGCTGAATCACGAAGGAGGCATGTGATATTCTTGTCAAGTACTATGAAGGAGGTGAGAAATACAAAGTCGTTAAATTGCCTATTTTATGATGGCAGTATGAATTGCTGAGGTGAAAAGATTGCAGACTATGTGTCGAAGGTGCAGAGTCTCTTCCATCTCATGAAGGATTGTGGTGAAACCCTAACTGATAAGTTGATAGTTGAGAACGTAATACGTATGTTGACCTCTCACTTTGATCACGTTATCGTAGCTATTTAAGAATCCAACAATCTTGAAACCCTAAAACTGAAAGATTTGGTTGGTTTGTTGGAGGCGCACGAGATTAAGATTGTCAAAAGAAAAGGGGTTCAAGATTTGATACAAGCACTGCAGGCTCGGGCATGAAGCACACATGATGGTTTCAACAAGTTCAAAGGCAAAGGAGGCAAGACTCAGAGTAAGAAGTCTTGGTCGAATCCTCACAAGTATAAGGTCGATGATAGGGCTTCTGAATCCTCGAAAAGAGGAGAAGGAAACACCTATCAGAAAGACAGAAGAGAAACAAGATGTGTAGTGCTATATCTGTGAAAAATGGGGTCATTTTGCTTAGAATTAATGGTACAGGAAAGACAAGAGATCCACAAAAGGCAAGGAGGAAGGAGAAAACATTGCACGTCAAGTTTCACATGATTATGAAGATATGGTGGTTATGGTCGTAGTTGCAAATAACCACGTTGAATCCAAGATCTGATTCCTCGACTCTGGATGGTCAAATCACATGACTAGTCAAAAGGTGTGGTTGGTAGATTTCGACGAATCTAAGAAGAGAAAGGTTAAACTTATAGATTATAGCTTGCTGCAAGCAGAAGGTACTGAAAACATAGTCATTTAAAGGAGCAATGGAGCAAAATCTTTGATCAAATATGCACTCTATGTACCTGGAATAAAGAGCAATCTGCTAAGTGTTAGACAACTCGTCAAAATGGTTTTTCAGTGGTTATGAAAGATGGAGCTTTGAAACTGTTCAACACCCAGGATAATTTGGTCTTGAAATCTCCTCTATTGATGAACAAGACATTTAAGATCATGATCAGTTTGACTGATATACAATGTGCGAAAATAGTTTTTGACCACAAGAATAGTTTGTTGTGGCATTTGAGGTTTTGGCCATCTGAACTTTAGGTCACTCAATCAAGTGATCACTCAAAATATGGTAACATGTGTAATACTCCAAAAAATTATAATTAATTACTCAATTGATTAATTATGCATTATTGGTGAAATTATATGATAATTAGAAGTAATTATTTTATTTAAATAATTTAGTTGAGATTATTTAGATTTAATAATAGTAATAATAGATGTAATATTGGTGTAAAGATATTGAGGGCTTGTTGATAATTTTAATAGGAATAAGTGAGGACATAATGGGGATAGCATGGAAAGGGTCAAAGGGTTAAATTAGTAAAAACAAGGAAGAGATGAATCACTTTTGTTTTTGGGAGATCGTAGAAAGTAGAGAAGGGAAGATCGTGTTTTGGAAAAAAGAGAGAAGACGAGGCTAGGGCTCAAAGAAGAGGAACCTCCATTGCTAAGATTGAAGATTTGGCAAGAACTCTAAGGTAAGGAAGGAACTTCCGATTTTATTGGGGTTGTATAATACCATGTGACATGATAGTATCATGTGTAGGTTCATCTTTCCCTAATTTTGCTTATTTTTAATTGAGTATGAATATATGCATGACTTGATTGTTAATTGTTGAAATTGGTTGGATTATGTAATTGCATGATATATATATATATATATATATATATATATATATATATATATATATATATATATATATATATATATATATATATATATATATATATATATATATATATATATATATATATATATATATATATATATGATGTTGTAACTGATTTTTAAATCAGAGTCGCCGCCCTTAATTTTTATCCTAAAGGAAGGGAGTGTAAATGAATAACCCTAAAAAATTCAGAGATTCTAGGCATGACTCGATTCTAGATGAATGGAAGGTGTTAGGCACCCCTCATCTACTTTGTTCACAAGGATACTTGATTTAGAAGCGCTTTTTAAGAAAATAGGGTTTTAAGTTTTATTAGGGGAGCTCGCCACGATTTTTGATCGTATGCCTACGTATCCTCTTAGGAGGAATCAGAGTCTAATTTCGTAGTTCACAGTTGGTTTGCATTTTTTATGGATTAAGAATTATATTTGAATTTCCCGCATACTCAATCTAGGTGTACGAATAGCGGAGATATTAGACGGAATACACAATCGATTCAAATATACTTATAACCCTTTTTGAAGATTAATTGTTAGATTAATTTGATTTATGAAAATAATTTGTGGTTGGTTAAATATTTTTTAGTATATTAATTATGAAAATATTTTATTTAAATGCATGATCAAAAGAAATAATTTAATGCAATAAATAAAATATATTTGAATGTGTTTAGAAAAATATTATGATTTATAAAATAATAGTTAATATAATATTATAATATATAAATATATAAAAAAATAAAAATATAAAAAATAATAAAATAATTATAATAAAATAATAATAAAATAATTTTAAAAAAATGTAGGGATGCAAATTATGTAGGGTAGGAAAATGGGGAGATGTTAATAGCACGGGTCTGAATTCAGATATTGAATTCAGGCCCAAAAGACAAGAGGGTGTGTTTTTTATCTACGCAGCAAAAATAGAGGTGTATAAGGAATAAGGCCCAAGTCCAGATTTTGGACTTGACCCATTTTTCCTGGGGGTATACTTTGAGCGTGTTAGTAAAGTAAAAATAAAAGGGTGTATAATCAGCAATTGGGCTCGGCCAAATGTTTAACCCTTATATCAAATACAAAAACGTAAAAAAAGGAAAAAGAAACAGAGTGATCTGTTACCTCGCCGTGCTTTCTCTTCTCTGCTTCAATGATGTCTCCGCTAATCTCACCCTTTCGTTTTGTTTCGCAAGTGACAGAGGTGGATGGTGAGGATGACGATGGCGGGTTGAAGCAACAACGGCTCAACTCCTTCTTTTTCTCTGTTAAGAAAAATTTGCTCTATAAATTTTTCTTTCTGATTTTTTGTAGTAACTTTCCTCCTTTTTTTCTCGTTTTTCTTTTTGTTCTAAATTCTTTAGATTTTATAGTATTTTTTAGAGATTATCTGATTAAAAAATAAACAAAATTGTCTGTAAATTGAATTAGGTTTTAATTAGGACTTGAATTTTTTTAGGAAAGAAACAATTATGTCTGTAAATTCTATGAAGTTTTAATTTGTTTTTGTTTATGGCTTGTTCTTGTTTTGGAAAGAATCAAATGTATAAATGCAGATTTGAATAGTGATTGACCAGTAGTACAGTTTCCTGTTTGATCAGCATAGTACCTGTTTCCATGCGTTGTCTTTTACAATTTGAACAATGGATGTTTGTTGGATTCGATTTTGGGCCAGACATTAACTGAATTTTGAACTATACGTATTTTGGTTCTGATTCGAATTGGGCCTGCTCTTTAAAGGCCTCTCAAAGATTAAAACAAAAGTACCCTCTTTTTTTGATTAAGTCATATATATATATATATATATATATATATATATATATATATATATATATATATATATATATATATATATATATATATATATATATATATATATATATATATATATATATATATATATATATATATATATATATATATAT